AGGGAGGAGGAAATGGCAGCGGCTCGCCGCGTTACTCTGCGCCGAATGGGGCAGGGGGACAGGCACCAGGCTGCTTCCCCGGGCAGGAGCTGGGGCAAACCCCCTGGGAACGGGCTGGGGGGACGGGCAGGTAGCAGGGACACGGGCAGCGCTCGAGGGAAGCGTCTTACAAATATGATTCAGACCTGAGGTCTTCTGACCCATTTCTGGGTCTTCTACAGGAACTGTGAGCTGAAGCACAAGGACGCAGCCAGGTATATTTGAATAACATCACTATAAGCAGAATTTCTGTTTAACTCCTGGTCATGGCAAGGCACTGGGATTACCCTGGGATTAAGCCAACCAGTGCTGGGATGCAGCAGACTGCCAGAGTCTGAGCTCCTACACTTGGCAAAGCAGCACAAACCAAAGACACACTGAAACAGCTCCGTCCTTGCTAAAAATAGACTCAAGCACAATATGCAGCTTGGATATCCTGGACACAATAAACAAAGACCACGCGGAAAAGTGAAGCGTCCAGCACCACCAGGCATCAGCTGGGACAGGGGATCCAGAGCCGGGTGAGAATTCCCCTCCCTCCGCACACAGCCCAGGTCACGAGCACCCACTTTCCAAGCACTTGGAGCAAAATCAGTCCCTGAAACCATATCCCCTATATCCAAACTAAAAAAGATTTTTAGGGCATCGAAGGTGATGCTCCTAATGTGCACAGGTCAGGAAGAAAACTCCCAGGTGACATTAAAAGCAGAAAGGAGCCACCCACCAGCAAGTGCCCTCTCTGTCCCTCTGCAGATGTCCTGCATCCGCCTGGGACATGGCTGGGTGCTGCGGTAGCACCAGGGGACGTTTACGAACTGCAGAGTAGCACTGTGTTTATTCCCAGGCCAGGGAGAAGCTGCAGCCAGGTAAGAAACCACATCCAGAAAGTTTTATTTGCAGTCACTCCTCCATCTCAGCGTACCCGAGCAGATGGCTCGTTGCTGGTTTGGTGTGATGGAATCGTGCCACCACGCCAGGTCAAGGCATAAATCAAAGGGACAACTAGGAGCAGTGTTTTACAGCAGGTCAGAGAGGCACAAGGCATGAAGTCCAACCTGGATGCATTCCACTGTGCCAGGTATGCTCAAAACTGGCAGCACCAGACCATGCCGGGCACCCTCCCCGTGCTGGGGTGGGTGAGGGTAGGATGCGCGCCGAGGGCACGCAGAAAGCTTGAACCGGGCTTTCTCCTGGACTTTGCACTTGCTGTTTAATTCCCCAAAAAACATTTCTTGCTATGAGACACAAGGGAGGCCCCAGATCTGTGGGGAGCGTGCAGCTCAGGGATGCCCTGGGATGTCCCCCCGGATGGGCAGAGGGACGGTCCCTGCCACCACTGCAAGCAGGAGCTGTGCTCCCCGTTACCCCCTCTCTATCAAGTTGTGCAAGCACTGGAAAGTCCTTCACCTCACTCACCTAAGCCCATGACAAGGCGAGGTTTGCAGGGCTCAGGCAGGTGCCTCTTGGCCGAGGGAAGTGAGAAATAAAATCACGCACACAAACCACTCAACGCCTTAAAGGAGAGCGGTCCACACGGGAGCTGTGGGGTGATCTCCGGCACTGGAGGTGTCGAGATGCACCTTGTGCAGGCAGTACAAACTGGAACTTCACCTTCCAGCCCCTAAATCCTATGAATTTCTCACAAGAAGCACCAGAGACCTCCCAGCAGCGGGAAGCCCCACAGCTAAAAAAACTGCTTACATCCACCCTGCCCTCACGCTCATCCATCCGGTTTTGCTCCACTAAAACAGCAACCCAGTGCTATTTTATTTTTTCTTTATATATGGAGAATGAGTCAGATTAATCTGCTAGCAACACAGGCAGCCCAGAGCGCACCGTGGCCCCGGCTGGGATGCTGGGGCTGCGAAACATGCAGCAGAAGCAGGACTAAGCTGTGCTTATCCCAGCATTCCACACAGCACGCTTAGACTGAGCCCAACATAGAATCACAGAATCAGAGAATGGTAAGGGTTGGAAGGGACCTTAAAGATCATCTGGTTCCAACTCCCCTGCCATCAGCAGGGACATCTTCCACCAGACCAGGGTGCTCAGAGCTCCATCCAACCTGGCCTTAAACACTGCCACGGAGGGGGCAGCCACAGCTTCTCTGGGCAACCTGGGCCAGGGCCTCCCACCCTCAGAGTAAAGAGTTTCTTACATCCAGTTTAAATCTACCCTCTTTCCATTTAAAGCCATCACCCCTTGTCCTATCCCTACATGTCCTTGTAAAAAGCCCCTCTCCAGCTCTCTTGCAGGCCCCTTCAGGTACTGGCAACTGCTCTAAGGTCTCACTGGAGCCTGGCCTCCACCCCTCGGATCATCTTCATGGCCCTCCCCTGGACCCGCTCCAACACATCCATGACCCAAAGAAAAATCTCCCTTTGGGAGAGCAAGCCCCATAGCAAAGCCTCTGAGCAGAGACCCAGCGCTAGGCAGAGGCTGCACTGAGACCCCCGCACCAGGAGCGAGCTCGGGCGCGGTGCACGCTCTCGCTTTGATCGCTATC